GTGACGAAGTACGCCCTTAAAATCTCGAGGAAATTGAAAACCTTAGGGCCGTCCTCTCATCGGCTGACATAAGTAGTGCATGATCAGCGAATTTTCTCTGACGGTCGAAAAATATTTATAACTAAGTGTCTGTTCACATTTCCACCTCACGACGTCGTCCACCTGGAACGGTGCGGTAACGCGGCACGGTGCGTCGTCATAATGTGCAAAGAACATGGTAAATTTTTGTATGAGCGACTGCCCTAGCAATGTATAACTATTGTATTTAGTAATATTTATTGGTGAATGGCTGAATATTTATAATTTTTATGAAAACCGGCTCAGGAACTTTTGATAAATCATAATCTTGAAAATTATGAGAACTCCTACTTTGTCATTACCTTACTACAGTTGATAAAAGATGTTGCCAATTATTTACAGACTTATCAATTTCGCATTTTCTTAGAATCTTTCTTTCCATTTCTCCGCTTAACTCTTCACAAAAAGTTTTTTTTTTCAGCAAAAATAAATACAATTGATTTGTTATCGTTGGCCGGACAGGAAATCTGTGAAGTTTTATATTGTCCATTTGCAAAATTAAAGGATGAATTATCATACCATACAGCCTTGTCTCAAGCCTGATTAGAATAAAAAAATCTATTATTTTAGGTCTTTAGAGATTTGTTATAATAAAAATTAGGGCCAAATATGTCATAGTTAGGAGTTTAGAAATAATATTATTTATTTCGATATATTTATTGTAAAATGGAACAATTTCCTTTTGAAACAGACATGAAGTCAATTTTTATACATTTAAATATTAGATTATTTCACGAAAGTTGTATGAGAATAATAAACACGTAATAATTCATAAAACAATAGTATTAATTACGGGCTAGTGTGAAATAATTATTTACGTTAAAGGCGGTTTCTTAGCCATGACCTTTACGTAACTGTATCGCAAAAATACACGTCAAAACGCCGGAACGTTATACATCGTCATGCCTTTCAAAATTCCGGTACATTCTTCACTAACGTACTAGAGATTTTGTGTACTTGACGGCCATACTTACTAAGATACTTCAACAAACTTTTAACTTTGAATTAAGTTGATGCTTTCAGGTTCTTTGCGATAATAATCGAGAGACAACACGTGACTTAATGTAGCATTAAATTTATTCGACGTTACTGAGCTCAGCCGTAAGTTAATAACTGGACACACGTGTTACTGAGCTCGGCCGTAAGTTTATAACTGGACACACGTGTTACTGAGCTCGGCCGTAAGTTTATAACTGTACACACGTGTTACTGAACTCGGCTGTAAGTTTGTAACTGGACACACGTGTAACTAGTCTCTTGTGTCGTATTAGTGCACAGTTGGTAAATATCCGTTAATTTCGGATACCGTCCTTACCAAGAACATTATAAAATCATTATCTTTCTATTTAAGCATTTAACTGCTAGATGATTAAAATGAGTACCACCCGGATAGAGGAAGATTCTAGTTCGAATCCTGTCTGAAACCTAGACCGAACTTTTTTTATAATTTTCTTTATTTAAACATTATAAAACTTTTACGGTCACACTCAAGAGACGTCAAGCAAATTAAATGTTTTTCAAACTAGACTTTGATTAGTGGCATTAATTTATATATCTGATCTATAACGACGAATTCTCGGATCATCATCATAATCAGCCGATGGACGTCCACTTCTCGACATAGGCATTTTAGACATTCTCGGATAAAATCTGGGAAATAAATTATTACCCAATCAAAGTTAAATATCATAAATGGACGTCCACTGCTCGACATAGACATTTCCGACATTCTCGGATAAAATCTGGGAAATAAATTATTAACCAATCAAAACAAAATATCATTCGTCACGTCAACAATAATAACATAGCACTTCAATTTTTCCATTTAATACTATATTAGACGAACAATGTTTTATGCAGGAACAGGAAATGGAAAATCCATTACTTGCCCGACCTTGGAATGACCTATCAAAACAACGACAGACGGACATGCACGAACAAATTCCTTTAAAATCACCGGGACATCCATCGTGTGTTCTTAACCTGACTCATTATCAGAGCCTCATAGTACAACCGGTTAATTAATTTACCGACGCTAAAGCTTCCCAAAGTAACCTGTCAGTGTTAAGGCATTAGCGGACTTACGGCACCAAACAGGAAAACGGCTCACAACCCTATGCGGTTTCCTTCGCTATTTTATTAATACTGCTATTATTTATGACTGCAATAACATGGTAACATGATGGTTATTAAAACTCCTAGCTCTTGGCTTCTTTCTGCGAGTCAGTTCGATTTATCTTATCACACACAGTTAATTAATACAGTCCTCGAATCATCCTGTAACACTTAACGCACGCGACTTTCCGCGTTCCAGATCCTTAATTTCTAATTCATAAGTATCTTTGCTTTAACCAGCAGCTACGTAAAGTCATCGCAGTCAGCTGATGTGTTATTTATCCATCATCATCATCATCATCATCATCATCATCATCATCATCATCATCATCATCATCATCATCATCATCAGTGGATGGAATAGGGAGATTGGTTTATGACCCACCACGCGGGCCCAGTGCGGTTGGGTGAGTGCTAACAACTGCAAATGCAGGCGGGACCAATGTCTTAAGCATTCGGAATCACGGAGAAGCTCGAGATAATACATTTTTGTATTTAAGATTTAACTTCAACAATCGCAGCGGAATGCGCTAACCATTTCCGCCATCGAACTCACCATTTTATCATCATTTTTTTTATATGTATTTATGCATCATTCTATTTAATTGTCGTGTCTTATTGTCAATTAACTGTAGAATACTGCTGGCAGAATCCCGATACTATGAGCGAGCGAATGTGTTTATTTCAGCAAAGTGTATTTCTTTATATATTTATTTTATGGACAGCCAAAAGTATATCAGTGAGATCAAAGAAGAAGAAAATTGAAAACGAAGTGATAAATTGCGCTTATGTTGACAAATCAAAACAAACATTTAGGTTTATCAAGAAATAAAATAAATCGACCTAGGGAAAAAGTGTTGATACGCACCTTATGTATTGTTAAGTGATACACGACAGTAAAATTGGTTCTCATTAAAAATACAATAATTTGTATACAAAGTCAATAAGTTATAAAAAGGAGAATTATTCCTATACATCCGCAAGTTAAATGTCTGTTTGCGCGTCATAGTAAGATCCAATTCACTTAAGAGTTTATGAGGATCAATCACGTAATGAAGAACCTTATGCAAGTTTACGAGATTCCACATTTTTTACGACGAACAAGTAAGGAGTTCAATTTTAACTCTAAGCTCTAAACATTAACTACCAACGGCCAACCAACAATTTTCCCGAAAAACCAAACCTTAAATCTCTAAAAAGCTGAGTAAATGATGTACAAAGATCTTGGCGAAAACCGATTGTTATAGCGTTTGACAATACATACATTTTAGCTCTATAAGGTTTTTTCTTTATAAGAAAAAAAAATATTTTGCATCGATGTAATAGCCTGCGATCGTGTGTGTTAAGACACTTTCTCAATTGTCGGTCATAAGATAAATGTATAAAAGATTTTGTATCTCGAGGTCCTCTATGCTCGGGAAGCGCGTGCGTTGGTCTCGCCTGAAACTACAGTCATCAATCTAAGTAATTTTAAAGGACCTATTCAACGATATCCCACACGAAGGGGTAGATGATGAAAAAATAAACATCACCATGTCACATGTTCCCGTACATGCTACCCTAAAAAAAATTTAAGAAAATTTTCAAAATGTTATTCTACCATTTTGTCAGCGTGATCGATATTCATATCCCCATAAAATTACAGCTCTCTAGTGCTAATAGTCTCCCAGCAACAGCGGGGACAGACAGACGGACATGACGAAACTATAAGGGTTCCTTGTAAGGACTATAGAACCCTAAAAAAGGGAAAGAGTATGATCCTCAAAACAATAATATCTAAATGATCACCTAAAAACACAATTAATAACCTAAAGGGAAGGTTAGGTATTGTATTTTATTGACAATAATTTACTACTGTTTCGATGATCATTTAAATATGTGCCTGAAATAAAGTAGCTTTCCGTCTGTCTTTAAATAAGCTAACTCCTCCCGAACCACCCAAAGAATTTGAAGAGGATTTCATCTTCAGTGCAGACAGAAAAAAGTAAGACTTTTCCATTTTAACATGAAAGGTATTAATAATTTACTGTTAGTCATATTTTTTATCAAAGGAAGTGAATATGTTTATCAATAGTGTGATATCGACAGGACGTGATAAATAGATAACATAAGTAATAATTTATTTATACGTCAAACAAGACTAAATATTATACTTAATAAATAAAAAGCTTTTATTTAACTTGCATTGTAGGAATGTATGTTCTGGTGGAATCTTGCAACTCAATTATGAAGCAATGTCTTTATTCGGTTGAGCTGAAATTTTGTACACACGTTAGGTTTGGGAGACAATGCATGTTGAGCTGTGTGACGTCATTCTAAATCCAATATGGCGGACTAATTGTTTTTTATGCACTTCTATAATATGGCTTGCTGAGAATTAATCGAAAAATAAAGTGAGGTCACCTTAAATCCAATATGGCGGACTTAAAAAGTTGGCGGACTAAGGCCCGTATTATAGAAGGATTCTCAGGGATGAATCTAATCTTGAGCATAGTTAGAAAGGGATGTCGCTATATAGCACATAGCGATATCCCTTTCTAACTGTACTCAAGTAAAGATCAACACTTAGTTGTCATTCTGTAATACGGACCTAAGTTTTTATGCTTTCCTACAATATGGACATTAAATGAAAGGTTTTGATGAGAATAACTCGAAAAATAAGGTGACTACATAATATTATATAACTTGTGTAATAAGTAAAAGTTTTAAGAGAAAATATTATTTAATACTTTTTAGCGCATTTAAATAAAAGCTTGTTTATAAAAAGATTTTTACTTGTAATTTTTACAAATATAATGTCTCTATACCTTTTAAGAACACCCAATGAAGTTTTACCTGAAAAAAAAAACAATAATATATTATTTAATTAGAAAGAAAGAAATAAAACTATTTCTAATACACACACACACACACACCTAGCCCCGAAACAAACATTGTAAAGCTTAATGTTATGTATGGGATACTACAACGGATAGAATACATAAACTGATACATATAGGTACCTTTATAAATATATTTATATTAAGAAATACATATAAACGTCCATGACTATGGTACAAATGCTCGTATTCGTTCATACTTACATCTGCCCCCACCGGGATTCGAACCCGGGACCTAAGAGTAGGTGAAACATTGAAACCTGGCGGAAACCACTCGGCTGCGGAGGTCATCAAAGTTATAACTTGCCATACTTTTTCTATCTTTAACAAAAAAGTGTATAAACGCGAACATAACGGAGAGGCACGTATACGTACCGTACGTACTTGCATGTAGAACACAAAATCTGTGATTTTCTGAACTGATCTAGAGATTTTTCGCCTTATCTAAAATCCAGTCAACGTCCAGATTAGATCTTGAATATTTTAGAGCATCCAGAATAATCTACAGACGCTTCTCAAAGGACATTGGCGGGAAACCCTCGGGATTTCGCTCGAATGAGTGGCGTACCCACATAACTATAGAATTTGCACAAAAACGCATATGTATATGAATCGGGATATACAACCTCTAAACGACCCATACCAAATATGAATTTTAAACAGCGAATGGTTGGACTGGATGAATCTATACATACATATAAATAAAATTGGAGTGTCTGTATGTAATATTGAAATAACGGCTTTTTACTACATGCATATAAATATGTATACGGTACATACACCAAAATATCATTTTTTACATTTTTTGTCTGTCTGTCTGTTTGTTCCGGCTAATCTCTGAAATGGATAGGACTTTTATTGGCAGGTAGCTGCTGTAATGAGGAGTAACTTGGCTACTTTTATTTTAGAAAAAATCTTTTATTTTAGAAATAAAAAAAAGCTAAAATTTAAAGCGGCCGCTAGTTTTAAATAAATTCTGTCATATACTATGTATGGCACATAGTATATGAGGGAGGTTATGTTAAAATACGCGCAAAACATACAATATAAGGATGTCGATTCTGGCATGATTCTCTAAATCTAAAATTAAATTTAACAAGTGTATCCTTATCATTCTATTTACAAAATGAAAAAGAGAGACTGATTTTAAATTTAGTTTTAAGTTTAGAGAATCATGCCAGCAGAAGCAACACCATTATTTCCAAAATTACCATTTGTTTCTAATTACCTAGTGGATTTGGCGATGTTGTGTGTTGTAAATTCGCATCTAGTATATGTAGACCAAACCCAATTTACCATAGATTAGCGTATTGGAACAAGGAGTAAATTGCTGAATATTGATTTTATAGAACGGCACTGATAAAAAGCGGAAATCCAAAGAAAATTTTACTAGAAATAAAATCCACGCGATCTAGGTATCAAACAGGAATAGAACCTGCATCCTCTGATGCTACAGACTCGATGGTGTCGAATTTCTTCAAGTTTTTCTTAGGTTATAAGGCAGCACCATCTCTTCGCATTGTACTGTAGGTAAATAAGCCACAATGTCAAATGTAATACATAGTAATTATAGATGAAGTATCGATAGAATTATCGGTTCCATTTATCACATGAGTCACTTACTATTAATCTCTCAATAGCTTTATTTCGCTTGAAATATAACAGATAAGATTATCAAATTTATCGACGGTGGAAAAGCGCCACTTAGAAGTGAGCGTTTAAACGATAAGCACCTAAAAAAAATCAGCTTTTTAAGAAAAGTACAGCAGCATGCTTTTAGCTTAGTCCTGCCCACCATCTATTTGTCCGTACAAAATTACAAGTTAGGTAATAATGCTTCATCACCTCTTAGTAATTTTGTACGGACAAATAGATGAACAAGTATGAAGTATGCTTTGACTGTCACGCCAGCTATTTTTTAACATAAAATTACTTACAGTTTGGTATAAAATCAAACCTATGTTGCTTAAGGACAAAAAAGCATTCCTTGGTATTACTTTCGTTTATAAGCGTAAGCAAATGCAAAAGGCAAATTAAGCAGTACGCTTTTCAAAGTCAAGGGCTGAGTATTCGTTCGTGTACTGCGTGCGCTTTATTTGCGTTTTTTTAATTTACATACAATTTGCTTTTGCGTATATTGACTTAGGTTATGGGTAGTCATGCATGCTACTCTTAAAAGTCTCTTCGGTGGTGTCGTGTAAGGCGGGTCGTTACGTTCCCTAAAATATGGTTGAGCGAAGCGATGGCTGGTCCATGCGTCATGCTCGTGAACGGGTGCTGCCAGCCGAGATGAGTCTGCCCTAACTGCTTTGATAATTAAGATGTAAATCTTTAATTACACCTATTATCAATAACTCTATTTGTATTTATACTGTGTGACACAGCAATCAAAATGCAGGTGAATAATTAATGTAAAATTTCACATTATGTAATGAAAGGTGACTTCATGAATCATCTCTGAAGTAATTTTTCGACTTGACGACTCTGTAAATGATAAAACAGGGAGAAAAAATCAACCCTTGCTGAGTTACTTGCCGGTTCTTCTCAGTACAAGGTCTCTCGCCGTAGATTTACGAACCCATGGCGTAGCTTCTAGACATTCATATGTGCTTGTAACAGCCTAAACTGAATAAATGATTTTGATTATGATTAAACATTTTCAATGAAAATAAACACTGTTAATAGATACTTGTGTAAATAATAACTATTTATTTAATAATTAGATTTAATTAAGTGTTTTAAGTTTTGTATAAATAATAAACACCTTATATACTTCTTATAAACATTCTTGTCGAGAAGTATAAAGAGTAAATTCATTATTAATTCTTTACACACGCAATATAAAAAAAGAGTTTAAACGAAAGGTTTTTTTTTATAAGCATACTTATAAAAAAAAGCACAATGTTTAAACGTTTAATAAATTTAAGCCGTTTTCCCCATCGCTACCGTAACTATAGTTACTTTACAGAATCGGCCATAAAAAAATCGAATAACAACAAAACTGAGAAGTAGGGTCATGAAAAAATTGAAACTTATTCTCAAAAGTATATTTTCTAAATATCCATATATCAAAAAGTTACTTAGTACCTTTAATACACTACATACTTCTGTAGCAACTTGGTCATAGAAAAATATACAAATGCAAGGGTTTAATAAAATATTAAAATGTTATTTACATTTAAATAAGATATTGCTACATACAATTCACCGACAAAGTAAACTTAGAGGTAATTCCATTTAAACACAGCAGTAAATTTTACTGTAAAACATAAAACAAATGATCTCTTCACATTTTTATATCGCCTTTATTACTCACTAGCGCTAGCGGCCGCCCGCGGATTCGTCCGCTTTAACTTTAGTTTTGAAAAACACTCGGACACCTTAAATTTTTTCCGGACAGAAAGTATCCATTGTTTCGGTACCCCTAGCACGAACCAATATCGAATTCGTATCGTTTGCGAGTCCGAAATGTCATTGTCAAATGTGTACTGATTTTTAGTTCCCGTTACGTACTTTGTGGCGCTGCTGTTCAAGTTTTCATACAAAATTTGACATTGACATTTCGGTTTGCAAACTATTCAAATTCGAATAAACTAAACGAACGAGATACGATAGCAAGTCCGAAATGTCATTGTCAAATGTGTACTGATTTTTAGTTCTCGTTACGTACTTGGTGCCGCTGCTGTTCAAACTTCTATACAAAATTTGTTTGACATTGACATTTCGGTTTGCAAACGATAACAATTCGATATTGGTTCGTGCTAGGGGTGCTGTTCAGGTAATAAATAAACTGAGGAGCTTAAAAAACGCGAGCTTAACACTAAAACGCTCTAATTACGACCAATACGACCCAAGAACCTTCAAAAAAAGAGCGTACTCCTTCCTTAAAGGCCGGCATCGCATTTGTGATACTCCTGGTGTTGCAAGTGTCCATGGGCGACGGTGATCACTTACCATCAGGTGAGCCGTCTGCTCGTATGCCCCCTATAACATAAAAAAAAAAATACATACAACTTAATTTTACAGAAGCTGTAAAAAAACTGAATGACATACCTACAGTGAGCTTTGGGCGTGCTTTTTAATGTATAAATTTAGTAATTTTAACACTGTTATAGACGGTTTTGATAGAAAATGAACAAACTTACAGACTAGGATTAGTAGGATTTTAATATTTTTCGAGTCATTGGGTACATTTCACTCCCATCTAGATAATTGTTAAATGATATTACGAGTATAATTACAAAATGGAAAAGAATAATAAACCGGGGGGGTCGCAGACAATAACAAAACGAGTTTCTCCGTCTTCGTCGCGTTGCAAAAGTTATAAAGATAAGACGAAAAATATCAAGGACATAGTGATGATGATGACTAACTTTTTACCCCCCCCCCCCCCCCCACTTTAAATGATATTTATAAAATTCTATCTCTCACAAAGCAAGTATGTAACGCAACCATAAAACCAAAAAGCGCAAATAACTACGATAACCTTTTTGAATACTTAATTGGAGTTCATATCGGATCTGTGTGTGAATTCTTACATAATATCATGTTTGATAAAAAGTAAGTAGGCGCTTATCTTAATGTTTCATCCTGATTGTATAATAGGTTAGATAACAGATAATACGTAGGTCGGGGTCACTGTGTATCATAATATTGTAATGATTGTTTTTTTTAGTCTGTGGCTGTTTCCGTTTTACACAAAATTTAAACATAAAATTTTCGCGGCCTGGGCATAGCTTACCGACTCGGTGTCTGTCGGTAAAGCAGTTGGCGGCTCGATCAGTGGTTGTTCGTGGGCGGCGGGGGCGTCTTTTTGTGGGAGCTGGTCTTCCTGTTGCTGCGGTGCTGGGGCGGTTACCTTATTAGGTAACGGGGCCTGTCTGGATGCGGGAGAATCTCCTACGCTGCGAGATCGGTGGAGGCGCGAGGCGCGCGTATTGCCGCGCGGGGGCGTCT